ATAATGATCTCGTTAGCAATTATAACCTTTTCGAAAAATTATAACCATTTGGTCGTATTTTGACTGATTTGTTTCATACAAATTATGTAGCCCTAGTTTTTATACTGAATTTATCCTGAATTTATACTGAACTGACTATACGGAATTTTCCGTATACCTGATCAATATACATGTATAGTGCACAGGATGGGTACATCCGGTCAACAGGGGATATTTCCTTCTCCTAGGCACCTGATCTCATCTCTGAAATTTCTAAGGGTTCGCCTTTCATTCCCTTCTCACAAATTTGTACATGTGTATCATTTATATTAAGATTCTTTTAGATCGATCATTGTAATCGTTACCTTTTTACGGTGTCATATTATAACACAAGATGTGTTTTGGAACCATATGTTGCCCGCGTATGGCAGCTTTATTCTGACGATGGTTGAGATTTCCAAAATGCAAGTCAACCTCCAAGTCAAAGTACGGTCTTCTCAAAAGGAATTTATATGTGAAATATGAAACCCCTAGTGTTTACTGTTTAAAGTTATGGCTTAAGTTTAAAGTTTTTTTTAAAAAATGGTCAACTTCTGATATCAAGGTAGAAAGGTCAAAATCGTTGGCATTTAAAGGAAGGTTGAAGTATGAAAGCACTAGTACTAACTGTTAAAAAATGATGGCCAAGATACAATAAAACATCTTTCTTTAAAAGATAACGGTTTGATATTTTATCGTATGTCAAATTCCCTAACATTCATTCAGTATACAAGCATTCACTTTCTTTGTAAACCCTATATTTATCAAATAAAGTATAGCGCACACTAATGAATCTACAACCATGCTCTAATTAATCAAGAATGGCTTCTAAAATGACTAGATAAAACAGACACGATTTCCGCCAGGATTCTTTATCACAGATTTTTTTTTCTTGAATGAACTTCTGTCAGAGTTAACCTGAAGGAATGTTATATGTCTTACTTTCCTTGATATCATCGATTTTTTTTTTATTCTACAAGTTTATCTAACGAACGTCATTTGACGCGGAAACCTTAAAATGAGGAAAGAAGATTTCGGTGACTTTACCATTCTTTTACTGCATTTTTCGAGATTTGAGGCAAAATATAGAGGAAAAGAAATCATGACATTTTGTAAATTTTATATTCATGAGATGGGATGATATCAAACAGTGATCATTCTCATGAGTTCATTTTAATAATACAACGTATGAAAAGAATGAACAGATATCTTTGAAAGAGGTGGGATCAGGATCCATGGAGCAATAAGCATATCCTGTACATCAGTTATACCAATCGTGTGCTCCTTGTCAAAATCGAGTAAATGTTAAATTATGTAGCCAATTTAGAGTAAAAATAATGGCCCAACAGAGTGTAGAAAGGAAGTCAGCAAACATTTGACTGAATGAAAAAATTATATTTGCAAACAACATCATTACTTTTGATAAAGAATTTGGAAAATGTTGACTTTACAAGGTTTTTTTATATTCCTGTATCATTATTTTATTTGTTGAAAGGCCAGGCCTTAAGAGCGTAAATATTGAGAATAGACTTAAGGGGCTGAAGGACCTTTAGCTGAAAAAATACCTGTCATTCAATTTTTTTCATATTTTGTATTACTCTTTTTTAATATGTCCCACATACCTTAAAGCAGATATATCAATAGGTTTCTAGATTTATTTCTGAGATATTGAGTGACAAATACTATGCCCCACAGTGTCTGAGTGAAGTTTTGATTCTCCGTATTTCTGGGCCCATTTCTCGGTCCATAATGGAATTTTTTCAGCATAGATAAAACATATGTCAGCGAACATGTGTCTTTTAAAATATTTCAGAGTATGAATAGGGTTAAAAATTCGAAAAAGCAAAATTCTTTTGTCACATCGCATCTGGAGACGGAAAATTGCGTTCTTTTTAAGACAACTTAAACGACAAAAAAATTAATTTACAAAAAATCCTATCATTCAATATTTGAAAAATTACCTCGAAATGCAAGTTCGTCATGTTATTGATTAACTGCAAAAATATCGATTGATGAAGCTGAGCTAAATATTGCACAGGGCATAGTTAAACAACACATGAGCATGAGAAAAAGTGTCATATTTACATATCTCGAGTACGGGAAAACCCTACTATGACGTCACACATTTGCGAAATAAGCTAAGTAAGACATAACTACAACATATATTTCCGTCAATAACCATGTAAAAATATTTTTTGTGTTCTGTAATTCATAAAATATCCCACCATGTACTGATCATGACCCGTTTTCTGATATTATACTACCCAAGTTTTACCTTGTATATAATCTTACTGTACTAAGATCCACTATGACGTCAGCAACTCGTTGGACGCGCATTGTAGGGAAACAGAAGAGTGGATCAATCTATTCCGTAATTTGAGAATATTTGCAAGAAAGTTTGAATGTTTTTAGACATTTTTATACAAGATGGTGAACTCAAACAAACAGTCATTTTTTTCCGAATACTGTGGTTTCAATCTGGTTTTGTACATATTTTTTCAGACATTATGACGTAATTAAACTGAGTCACGTGACCATACATCCTTCGTCCCCTTAAGTCAAAATTTCGATTTTTTAAACTCGAGTTTTATTGACTTACAGGTTTTTAATTTAAAAACATGTTGAAAAAATTGTTTCATTATCAAAATTATTTTTAAAATTACATTGATTTAAAATTTTGACTTCAGTATGTTCTCAGTTAATTGTCTCTGGGTCTGGTCTCCAAAAAAACTTCACATGTATAGAAATTGTCAATGAGAAACTCAAGCATCTTTTCAGTATCAACTTCGAAGTAGTACTTGGAATGAATTTTTTTTAAAGAAAATAAGTTGCAGATTGCACTGACAAAGTATGCTAAATTACAGTTCTGTGTGTATTGAAGAAGCATGCGCCCGTAATGTCAAATGTGTGTCCTTTAATTAGTCTTTCATATTTTCTTTTTAACATGAAAATCGACGGAAAGTATCAAACCTTTATTCTTTTCTCCAGTTTCTAAGCTATAATTTTATAGTCTAAGATGAGGTTTGAAGTTCCACGAATAGAGCTATAGATTACTTATGAGAGCAATCATCATATAGAAAACATCACTGAATTGATTTAGTAGACTGCCATAGTAAATTCTATTCTAAGGTAATAAAGTATACACTCAGCAATATCACTTTGTTTATGACTTGTTTATGACTTTTGATGATTGTTTTTGCCTTACCTGGTAGTTACTTATTATGTTGGTTTTTCTCTACTCTCTCCATACTTTGATTTATATTCTGGTGTATCTGGTGTATCTTGTTGCATATGATAAATAATATGAAATTAATTTATATCAATAATACTTTTCAATTTGTTTTAGTTCAATCGGGCTTTTCTTGTCATAATTTGTCATTTGTAGTTATTATTATTTTTTTTATATATATCTTTATCTTTTACTCAATAATATATATTGACCAATATTAATTCCAAGCTAACTTGCCACAAAGCATTTTTGGGTTGGTGAATTTAATTTTAATAATTTGAAGGACATGTCCTTTTTCATGGATAGAAGAAGAAAAGGAAAACTTACATAAATATTCAACTAATACGAAAGCTATACAAATATTTAAATTTGATATATTTTAATTTGTTCCTGCTAAATCTATATATATTTGTTGTGATATTCTGAAGTATATTTAAAAAAAAAACAGTTGATTTTCTCATTGACAATATCATGACGACTTGATATCTTCCAGTGAACTCGAATTAAAAAGACACCATCCAGTTTGCCAAAATTTTTTCATAAGTTGGGTTCTAATGATTGCTGACGTTAGAGTCTGTAATGAAATAACTTTAGTAAAATATGTGGAGATGGCGGACAAAAGTCTATAAAACATTTTAAAACAGGAGCGGAGCAAACGTGGACCTTCAAAACATCAGAGGTGGGATCAGGTGCCATTGAGGATTGAGCATCTCTTGCTTTCTGCTCCTTATCATAAATATCATAACCGTGTTACCGTCGACAATTCAGTGTGTTGATAATGGTTTAAGTACAAGAATGAAAAATGTAGGTCAGCATTTGACTTATTTATAAATCTAAAACTTACAAAATGATTACTTTAAACAACACTGCTGATTTTCTCGTTTAAGCAACTTGTTTACCTCGTTTTAAAAATTGTTCATACTTAAAACATGCACTTGCGTTTTGAATCAACTGAGATATATAAACCCTGTATGAGTTGATGAAGGTATATTGCTGCATAATTAAGGGAAGTTGACAATTGAAAGTTTAAAGTCATCTCGTTTGTCATAAAGCTCATCTCGAATATTAGTCTTGGTATAACAAGGATTTCAGATATAAAGGTATACGGATCAGATAGAAAGTCCACTTATCATCGATTTTAACAAGCAATAGAAATGTTTAATTTGTTCCTACAAAATCTAGATATATTTCTTTGCCCATGGATAAAAAAGACCAACAGGAAGTTTTTCTCGTGACTTCTTTAATAACAACCTTTCATGGAGATCAAATTCAACTTCAGAAGGTGCAAGATCTTAGATGATTAAAAAATTCCGTGTTAACATGGGGATTTTGAAAGCTATTGTAGGAGTAGATAACATGGTTGAAGAGAAATAATGTCTCTCTTTGTCTGTTGAATATCGCTGGCAAGAAACTGAAGTATAACGGAAGGAAACATAAGATATATGTATGTTGATTGTATTGTTGTAATACGGGAAACCTTTTAAAACTGATGAAAGCATTTCTGGACGAAGACAAGCTACCATGCAGGATACCATATTGGATTTTGTTTGAATATCTAGCGAGGATGATTCGTTCAATGATCCTTGGTGATAGCAGTTGTACCGGCTGATATTTGAGTAAATTATGTATACAAACAAGTTTCCCTATGTGTAAACTGGACTGAACTAAACACTTAACAATAAGTCTGAGAGCGGTGTAATGAAGGCTGCAGAAAAAAATGACCATTGCGATTTGTGTCGATGAGTAATCGATAATGGCTATGCCCCTGGTGGCTCTCGGATGTCCTTCTTCGGTTTGTGTATTTTATCATCTCGTAAACTGAAAAGAAAATTTAAATAAAAACAACAATAACAACAAGATAAAACCAAATTCACGCTCAAAACATTATAAATACATCTATACAGAATATTCAAGAAAAATATATTATTCAAAAAATAGATGTACATTTTTTTTTTCAGTTACTATTCATTGCACAAATGATAATAAGAAAATCCTTGCCATTAGTAAGTTCTTTCCTAATTTTTGCCATAAGGGTCTTAAATTCCCTCCCTCCAATAAAATTGTGTATAGTATATACTGAAACGTCGAGATCATCCTCATTAAATGACCGATCTTATGGGTTCAATATCCAGTTGTATCCACAGACACAAGGGTCATTTACTTGAAGAAAAAAAATAAACTAATTATACGATCCTCAATTGTTTTTCTTTTGTGTCGCTTCTGATAATGACAAGGGCAATCTATTAGAGCGAAAGCCAGAAGGCTTGATTATCTCTCATGTTGTAATGATTTAAACCTTTGAGTAGATAAAACATTGTCCACAAATATCGTGCTCTTAAATCTTATTTTCTTGTTAATCTGGTAAAGAGTCTTACTAATGAAGTAAGAATTCCTTATATGTTTTTTTTTATAATTAAAATCAATCTCTCACTATCAACTTTCAAGTCAAATATTTCGCGAAGCTTTTAATAATAGTTTCCAACACAGTTTAAATGAGTCTGTTAATATTTGCATGATGTCTGCTTGTTCCCTCAAAATTAAAGATTGAAACTGAAAGAGTAGCTTAAAATTAAAATTAATTTTAAATTAAAGACGTCCATTAAAACGGATTTCTTGTTTGATAACAGAAAAACAGAGAAATAAAAGAGAAAATTGTACTTCTTTTACAGACGGAGCAAGTGATTTTTCTGTGCCTTCTGTTCCTCTTCATCCTCGTCTGCAATATCATCGTCTTGATTCTGATTTACATGACGAGAAAGAAAAGATCCCGGATGAATATTTTTATTGCCGATCTAGCCATTGCAGGTATACTTATAATTCCAAGTTTGTTTTTGCAAGCTTGAGAACTAGAAAGTAAGACATGCTAGCATTCAATATTGCATTGGTGTCGTCATGTATATGTCTTGATGATTTGTACCTTATTCGTTTGACTGCATGAATAATTTTGGACTATCAATTTAGAAATTGATCCTTCTCTAGCTTTTTTTTTCCTTTTGAGTCACTGTCGAAAGTTAGACCATTGAAATCACTTTAAGGTTTAAAGAAAGGGCATATTTTTCATAACGAAAGTCTGTACATCTTAAGATTGCTGAAGACGTTGTTAAAGTTGCCATAATTATCTTTTAAATTAATTAATGATTAATTAAAGAGGACTTTGACATTGAAACAATTACTGGATAATGCGTATAGAGAAACTTGATAAATGTAAAATATAGACATTTCATTGTTAATATTGCCTAATTTCATAAACATCCTTCAGATGTATTAATTGTTTACTACTCGAACTGATTGCTGTTATGCAAACTTGTTTAGGTTAAAAGATCATCACAGCAGTTTGTTTTGTCGAAAATTCTACTGTTTCATAAGAAAGCTTTTCAAGTCATTGACTTAAAAAAAAAACAAATGAGAAAAAAATGTTCCTTTGTCTTTTGAAAATTGGGGAAACAATTTAATTTATTCACTGGAAAGCAATTAATTGCACTTTCTGTTTTGTCTATAAAACCTGGTCTTGTTTTGTTCAAATTTCAAAATTAATTTTTTTCTCAATACTTATTTGCTTGCATGAAACATATGAAGATAACGAACAGTATTCGAGAGAGATCAAAAGTCCATAAAACAATACAAAACGGGAACAGAGTAAACATGGACCTCCAAAACATCTAATTCTATTTATACTCTCTGAGCATCCAGAGAGATGCATCTCTAAACAATAAAATAGTCACAGGAGCACCATTACTACTCATTTAATTCAAACAATACATGGGCGTGTTTCTAATTTTTTCAATTTCAGCTGTACTGAAAATGAATACCAAACGCCTTCATTCTGTTATAAATTTCTCTTTGGGGATTTCTTGTGATATTGATAAATCAGATCTTTGATATTTAATTTGATCCTTACTGTTTCATGTTTTGCAAAATTGATTAAATTGCATTTTGCTTTGTATTTGTAATGCGTTTTCAATTACCACGTAACTTCGTTATCATGCAGGATGTTTTAATTAATTATTTTATTGAACATTGTGTTAACAAATATTTCGGATCTCTGTTCGGATAATTTAAGAGAAAAATATTCAACTATACCTTTCTAAATCAATATCCCTTGCCAGACAGATGAGTGAACATACTAAAGTATGGAGTTTTGCGTACATATTTCATTCGGACACGTTCCTACTTCAAACTAGAGTGAACAACAATGAAGAAATATGATGAGAGTAATGACAATTAATACGTTTAAGCACATTTAATGGCTTCTTCAATGTTTTCTATCCTTTAGAAACATTTATATAAGATTTTTTCGGAATTCCTATAAAAAATTCATAGGCGCTCCCCATGTAATTCTGTAAATGACGTATGATAAGTATATATAGGTCTACCCCTCTATACTATAAAATATCCAAGGCCTTGGATATTTTATAGTATAGAGGGGTAGACCTATATATACTTATCATACGTCATTTACAGAATTACATGGGGAGCGCCTATGAAAAAATTCGACAATATTTCATTCATTTAACAATATAATGTACTCGATGTATCTGAAAGTAAAGAAAATGGCTACAGCAATTCACATTTTCTTTAATATAGATTTTTAAAAAAAAACAAATTCTGCTTCATATAAATACAAAAAAGAGTCTGCTTATAAGGGGGGGGGGGGGAGGGGGCAATAAGCACCAATGGGAATTCCAACAGTTTCCCTATAAATGTCATACAAGAATAAAAGAAAATAGTTGGAAACTAAGTCTTTTATTTTTAAATTTATAATACGCGATGCAACAAAATCCCTAAATTTTTCTGAGCTAATTTTCAATATACATGTATGTTAAGGTCAGAGGATACGTTCCCCAAATATCTGTTTTGTACATCTTCATAATTTATGAAAAATGTACAAAATTTTAATTACTTTCTGATTTCTAAACTGGTTTCTAGTTGTTTTTAAAAATTTGAGACTCTAAAAATTTATGGCAAGCCCTTTTACTATTTATTCGTAAAATAAATTTTTCTTTCAAAATGAGAGATATCTCTCTAGCATAGAGAGATATCTCTTTAGCTTATGGAGATATCTCTTTAGCTTATAGAGATATCTCTTTGACTAATAGAGATATCTTAATACTTTAGAGAGATATCTCTTTCAACAAAAGAGATATCTCTTTTTGAAAGAGAGATATCTCTTTTAGTAAGAGAGATATCTTTATAAGCTAGAGAGATATCTCTTTAAACGAGAGAGATATCTCTTAAAGTTAGAGAGATATCTCTTTAACAAGTTTAAAAGAGATATCTCTCTTAATTAGAGAGATATCTCTTTAGATTTTCAAAAAGAGATATCTTTCTAAGCTAAAGAGATATCTCTTTTAATGAAAGAGATATCTCTTTTCCAATCACCCTTAAAATAAAATAACTAATTCTCCCGTTAAAAACGAAAGCGAAACAGGAAGTAATGTCTGTTAAGTCGTTCGTTTTCTGGTTATGGAAAAGAAGAGGATAAAATGGACTGATTGATACAGGTAAACAACGTTTAATTGCTTTATTGTTTTAAGCGAAAGTAACAGGATTTCAAACCAAAACGTCCCCCAAAGATTGGTTCCATATTATATTTATTTCATTTATTTAGCTCACAGGACAGCTGAGCCGGGGATATAGAATGCGAAGTCAATAAAAACAAATTCGAACTAGTGCTAATTGTAACGGGGACCGTTACAGATGTTCCCCAAACGCTCCCCAACTCCCTTTTATAATCATATTCCATGTAGGCGTAATTAAATAAGACAAACTCTATGCATTTGAGACTTTAACAACGTTTACCAAGAAGTGTACCATGTTCATTCAAATTTTATTATTGCACACTTGCGCATGTGAATGCATACGAGTGCGTAATGACCATATCATATTGTCAACACAATCTATATATTTTAATATGCTAAATATAATCCAAAAGTATAAAAAAAACAAAACAAAAAAAAAAACGGCCATTCAAGTGTATTTTTGATTTTTCCCATTTCACGTGCACGCACGTGCATACATGAGCATGGTGACCATACATTCTTGTAGAAGTCCATTACATCTATCTATTTTCTAAATCCCACCCCGTTTGGTTGAAAACCAAGGGAGTTATACCTGTTTAAAGTTTCAGCCAATCAGATTGCAGCGCATGTACACGCACATATATGCATGTGCATAGTGACCATACCTTCTTGTAGAAGTCCAGTATATATATCTATGTTCCAAATCCCATCCTGTTTGGTTGAAAACCAAGGGAGTTATGGCTGTTTAAAGTTTCAGCCAATCAGATTGCAGTGCACGTACACGCACGTGTATGCCTGTGCATGGTGACCATACCTTGTTGTAGAAGTCGATTATATATATCTATGTTCCAAATCTTATCCTGTTTGGTTGAAAACCAAGGGAGTTATAGCAATTTAAAGTTTCAGCCAATCAGATTGCAGCGCACGTGCATTCACGTGTTTTCATGATAATTGCTATATACCGTGTTGTAGGATATCCTTATGCATGGCTATGTTCAAAATTTCAAAGGATTTCGTCAAAAAACAAGAAAGATATAGAGACTTTAGTTTCAGCCAATCAGAGCAAAGCACACGTGCATGCGCGTGAGATCTTGCTATTTTGACCATGTCATCTTGTCTATATTACTAATATATCTTTACACTATGAGTTTCAAAGCATTTCATCAAAAAATAGAAAAGTTAAGGCAATATACATTATATTGGTCATTTCACATGATGCACGTGCGCGCTCTTGCAAGCACGTGCGCACAAAATGACCTTGATTCCGCAAATCTACATAACATGTCTACTGACCCTAAAAAGGTTTTACCTACATCGGATCAACAGTTTACAAGATCACTCCCGGACAAAAAAGTACCCAGGAAGAAGAAGAAGAAGAAAAATAATAATAATAAGAAACAGAGTAAAAACAATATGTTCCCCAACTTCGTTTGGGGAACATAAATAGGCCTACATGCACCCAATTTCATCGATCACGGGAATACAGGATTGATTACTACGTCGATTAAACATAATCCTGATAGAATTAAAGTTCTTTTTTTATTAATTAATGCTCCAAAAATAAAAACGTCCAACATTACTTCTTTCATGTAAACAGGGATGTATATATTCAACTTCAATATTAACTGTAGGACGTTAAACGACATACATGTACGATCAATATATTAACTGTAAAGCCTTATGACCCCCTTCCCAAACACAGGCACCTGAAGTATGGATAATACCCCCCCCCCTTTTTTATATTTTTTTTAAATTTAACAAAAAAGGGGGGGGGAGGTATCATCCATACTTCAGGTGCCCGTGTTCCCAAATACTCTTACAATTATGAGAAAGACATTTTATTTTCTTAAAAAAGGCATTAGAAATAGGAATTTTCTTATTTGTCTTAGCTAGAACAATCCCCAATTTATCCAATGTTGTCACCAAACAGGTCTGCACTGGGTCCATAAGACATTCATCATTCAATGGTAGAACATTTTATCTACATTTGTCATATTTTACAGAGATCCAGGAGGTACTGAAAAAGGGACAATGCTTCGACTGACTGTGTCATCCATGTACCAGTATAGACCTGTTAATGAGGCATATCCAATAATTCTTATACTCATGAAGAGTGCGGCAACTCCCAAGTAGTTAAGGATGGCACGCATTTTAAATCAGGTACAGGATAATTTTTTGGGCTGCACTTTTCTTTACTTCAATATTTCAAACTTACTAGTTAAGTATCAAGGCCACAAAAGCTCAAACACCATGGTGAATCAATGGGCCATAATGATAGATAAATTTGTCATATGCTTTCTTATTAAATTATCAATTTGAAATTTGATTGGTAAAAAACATTTATTAACAAGTACAATTCTTCTACTGTGTGCCTGTCATCCCAACAATTGCAAATGCACATCGATAGGTTCTCCATGAAAATTGCTAACTGCGCAGAATGGTTGCACATTTTTTCAATGAACGACATTTTCTTAACATTGAATCCTTCAGTATAACAAGACAAATATTGCATGCTTATTTTAATACAATATAAATAAACTTAAGAACAAATTTAAGGATTGAAGTTTAATTTGTATATTTGGTAGTTACATGTGTAATTAGTTTTATATATAAAGGATGTACACAAGCATTTTATAACATTGAAAATATTCAAGAAAGTATTCTCTTAATTTCTTGTAGATCCTCACTTCTAGGATGTTTTCCATGTTCTTGTGAAAAGTGTTTTACATGGCACCATTCAGCTACAAATACTTTGCCGGTGGAACTGTGACATCAATCAACTGCTCATGCCACTGCTAATTGGCAGAATTTCCTTTGGGACAAGCAAACTGTTTCAAATATTTTACACCTGCAAGTTAGTACTTATGAAATTTTGTTTGCAGGAAGCTAAAAGCTAATGAGTATTGAAAATACAAGCCAGATGAAGTACGAAAGTGTTGATACAAGTCATTTAGAATTTTCAATTCTTTGCAGGTAGTGATGAGTGTACTGGAAGTTTTTTCGGGATCTTGTCCGACATCATAGGTACAACTGGTCACTGTGCTTTCTTGGTTATATAAGCAGACATATTGTTAAAGCGGTGACACATGTAGCTTCAAATGATGCTTGACTGTTTAAGTGTTTTTCTTTGATTTATAAGTAAACCTGGATTGATCTCTGATGCAGTAATATAGAGCCATGTCCATTCTTTAATATTCCATCATCCCACTGTCACAAAGTACTGAAATAAAAATGATTTTGATTTTAAAAATTTTAGGTTTTTATATGTAACATAAAATTCTACAGAAATTCAAATATTAAAACTACTTCAAAACAAGATGTGTTTGTGAAACACTATGCACCAGGCGGCAACAAATTCAAACAAGTTTTTTTAAGCATATAGGTCATAGTCAAGGTCACAAGGTCATTGGCCTTGGTGTCATTTGAAAGAGCTTAATTAGTGGAGTATGCAAATCAAATATGAAGTCTCTATCTTTAACGGTACAAAAGGTATGGTGAAAGTTCAAAATGGTATTTATAGCATTAAAGTCACATTAAAGGTCAAAAGTTCACTGGCCTTGGTGTCATTTGAAAGAGCATAATTAATAAAGAAGGCATTCCAAATATGATTTCTCTATCTTAAATGTATCAAAAGTTAAGGCGAAAGTTTAAAAAAAGCTATTTTTAGCATAAAGGTCACAGTCAAGGTCACAAGGTCATTGACCTTGGTGTCTTTTGAAAGAATTTAATTAGTGGAGTAGGCATATTAAATATGAAGTCTGTATCTCTCATGGTTCAAAAGTTATGGTGGAGGTTAAAGTTGACAAAAGACAAACAGACATAGAAACAGGATATAAACAATAGACAATAATTCACTTATTTTATGATTGTGTATATTAATGTGACTGAATTTTGGAATCAATTTGTACAAAGGTTTAGTGTCATTGAAAAAGATTACAAAATATCCAAAAGAACTGTTTTACTTGTTAATATAGAAGGAAGTTGATTAGAAAATTTTCTTTTATTAGTTGCAAAAAAGTTTATTTACTATTCAAGATCACAAGATAGTAAACCATTATTTATTGATGCAGTAAAGTTATTCAAGTATTACAGAAACAGAAAATTGTTGTGAAAAGTTTTTCAATGTACATGATGTAAGGACTGTTTTGTTTTTGGATAAATTGTATGTTAACTGTCATATGTTTACATATATGTACATTTATTATGCCCCCCCCCTTTGAAGAAAGGAGGGCATATTGCTTTGCTGCTGTCTGTCAGTCCATTTAGTTTCCATTCATTTTCTTCACAACCATTGCACTGAAATGAAATTTGGTATACAGCCTTACAGGTATATCAGATGAATATCTAGGTCAAGTTCTGTTTTGGGTATGATCATCGCGCCATTTTTGACAGAGTTATACCCCTTGGCTTTAGAAAAATTCCAATTACTTGCAGTTTCTGTTCATTTCCTTTGCAGAGGTTGCACATAGTGAAATGCAATTTAGTATACAGATTTATCAGATGATCATGAACATCTAGGTCAAGTTCTCTTTTGGGTATCCTTGCACCATTTTTGACAGAGTAATGCCTTTTTGGACTTAGATAAAAAATTCCAATGTGGGGGGAGGGGGGCATAAGTATTTTACAAACATCTCATTATTTTTAATTTTAGAAAGTGCACTGTGTGAGTGTGTGCAATTGTGGTGGTGAGTGGGTGAAAATTGTCTTGTGTTTGTACAGTGTATATATGGATATGGAAAATGCTTCAAAATAAAGCATTTAAAAAATTTTTTTGGAAAGTATGGCAATCATATACCATGCAGTACTCAGAAATGCTAAATAAAAGGCTGCGTAGAAGAAAAAAAATAATTAAAACTACCAATCAAATAAGTATTAAATATAAATCTTTTAAGATGAAGGTTTTGCTTTGTCAGATTATTTGCTTATAGGGACACTTACCTTTAATACTGTCATGACAGGTGAGGCACATGGCTGGTCTTCATGCTGGATCAGTTCTTAGTTAAAACCATCCAGTATTGCCCCAAGATTGCCAGATGTACAGACAAAACCTGTAATTTAGCAAGCTTCTGTAATATTGAATTATTACATAGGCCATAGTTGTATGTGCAACTGATAATGATGTAGGACTAAGGTGCCTGACAAATAATGAGTTATAAATCTTACAAATATCCATTTATTTGATACAAATCTTAACTTTCTTCATTAAATTTTATCAATGATTTTACAAGAAAATCAGAATAAAAATTGTCCTTTTTATACATAAAAAATATTTTCATTTAAAATCTTTTTATTTAAAAATATTTGTTGCATTTTCATATTTAGGGTACCCTTCCTAGGCCAACAATAAAAAAAATGATTTGTTTGATGTACTCTGACCGACCTGTTAAAATAGCCCCTACCCATTTGCATTCATTTCTTGGGGGCACTTAAAATTTTTTAACACCCCCCTTAATTTCCATAGATGTTTTAAAGATAAGGTATCATATTTTTTTTTAGGATGCTTTTTAATTTATAAATACAAAGTCTTTGTAACTAAATGAAAACATTAACAGATTTCTGAGTCTGTGGTTTTAAATATGACAGTTATCAATTTATTCAATGCTGTAAGACATAAGGAAAAAAAACTAGAAATATGTCCACAGGACAGGAATGCCCGCCAAGGGTATATTAGTCATGCAAAATGAAAATTTGTATGAAATTTGATCAGAATATCTTGAAAAATGTTACAGTTGAATTGCTTACATCAGTATGTTATTGTATCAGCATATGAAGTTTGACACTAATTTCAGAGATGTGAGGTCAAGGTCAAATAAAAGGTCAACGTCATGTTGATGCAGTTGAATTGCTTACATCAGAATGCATCACCATATGAAGTTTGACACTAACTTAGGAAAATTGAGGTCAAAGTCAAAAGAAAGGCCAAGGACAAAAAATGTTTGTTTCAGTTGAAAAGCTCTCATCAGTATGGTAAGTTTGATACAGTAAATCTCGTTTCGTACGAACACGAATATTGCGAATTCATGGGTATAGCGAAGTCATCTTGGATTCCCAGCTATAAAATTTCAATGAATTTCTTATACGATTATAATGAATTATGGATATAGCGAAGTAATTTCATAGGTCCCAGCAACTTTGTTATAACCGAGTTTTGCTGTAACACCATCTTGAATGGTATGTTTAAAACTAAGTTAAACACTAATTTAAGAAAAGTGAGGTCAAGGTCAAAGGAAAGGTCAAGGACAGAAAATAAATGTTGATGCAGTTGCATAGCTCTTATCAATATCTATCAGCAAAGTTTGATGAAATATCCTGTATAGTTTCTTTGAAACTGGGCTTTGAACTGAGCTAAACGCAAAGTGTGACGCATGGACAGAAAGACAGAAGACAGTCATGACAAACACTATATGCCCAGGCCATAATCATGGTGGGGCATAAAAAAACTACCGGTACCTACCAACCTACCTGCCAACCTTGATAAAAGTGGGTAGGAGTACATCAAACAAATATATTTTTAAAGCTGGCCAGTTGTTGACTAGTATATTAGTCATTTTGATATGCTATGTCTTATAAAAAATAAATTTTATATTTGTCTTAGAACTTATTTGTTGCATCAATTTCATACCTGTATTTGATTTGCATTGTTTTGGATGCTGATAATTCAAAGTCAGTAAAGTCTTAGGTGCTGCTGACTTTGGATCTCTTAGGAACTGCATCTTTTATCTGTGTTACTGGTTCTCTTGTACCTCTGCTATAAATAAGTTTTAGTGTATACAGTTGTGTAATATCAGTGAATAAATTGAACAGACAGATTGATTGTTTATTGTTTATCGTTCCTCTCAAGAATTTTTCACTCATATGGAAACAACAGTGGAGAGCTGCAAATTTTGTCCTAATGACCTATACTCAGCACTCAGGGCCATTGACTGATTGAGCAGGAAGGGATCTTTTTTGTGCCAACACCTGACCTACTGCAACAAGGGGCCACAGTTATACTGTATCATCCCAAGGACAGGTCTCCACATCCCACAGTGGGATTCAAACTCATGATGTAAGGATCAACACCTTATTTCGCGACTCTACTAGAGCAGACACTCTAACCACTGTGCCATGCAGGCAAATTTGAACAGACAGAAAAATTTACCAAAATCCATAAACCATATTCTATAAACAGGAAACATACTCTCTAAAGTGAGAAATATGGTCATCTAAATTTTATTTAATGCAGAGAGATGGCAAAATATATGAACATCTTATCCTTGTGAAATAGATCTAAATTGCTACAAACATTTAATGCTCAAAAAAATAATCCACTAATACCAAGCAGGTTAAAATTTACTGAAAAACAAGATGTGTTTGTGAAACACTGATGCCCCCGTACGGCAATTTAGCGACAGTTAAGCTTTCTCAAATGCAAATCAAATATGTTAATTGGTACCAAAGTAAGGTCTTTTCACAAGAAATGAGAAATGTAAACACTAATTACACCTGCTCCAGGGTTATGACCAATGTTAACATCTTAAAAGATAGGACAATTTCTGGGTCAAGGTCAAAGGGTCAAGGTTGTTGTGTTCTAAAGAAAGGCCTTGTCTCAAAGATTATGTATGGGAAGTATGAAAGCACTGGCCCTTACCGTTCAAAAGTTATGGCCAAGGTTAAAGTTTGTAAAAAGTAGGTCAAACTTTAAGGTCAAGGTCAAAGGGTCAAGATTCTTGATATCCAATGAAAGGTATTGTCACAAGGATTACACGTGTGAAATATGAAAGCTCTAGCCCCAACTATTCAGAAGTTATGGTCAAGGTTAAAGTTTGTAAAAAGTAGCTCAAACACCAAGGTCAAGGTCAGATGGTCAAGGTTCTTGAAATCAAATGAAAGGTCTTGTCACAAGGATTAAATTTGTGAAGTATGAATGCCCTAGTCCTAACCCTTCAAAAATTTCTGTCAATGTTGTATTTTTAAAGTGGGTCAAACTCCAAGGTCAAGGTCAAAAGGTCAAATTTGGTGGTACCCAAAGAAAGGTCTTTACACAAGGAATATACATATGAAATATGAAAGTCATAGCTCCACTAAATCAAAAGTTATTGGCAAGGGGAAAGTTTTTGCGGACAAACAGAGAGACAGACGGACACGACAAAAACTAATTACCCCCGAAACTTCGTTTACGGGTGCATAAAAAGTATATTAAAAAATTACCCAAACAAAAGTGATGCAGCCACAACATCATAAATATGACGTTGGTTCCCATCAATGACAAAACTCCTCCTCTATAATCAGCTGATGAATAACATCTCGAATTCAAGAGAAATCTGTTAACAAATTAAGGCAAAAGATAATTTTGAAACTATTTCATTCGGTTAAAAATAAAACACTTCATTTTCCCTCAAAATAAACAAGAAACGGATGACACTCTCTGATTTGTTTACCTGTATTTCGATCGAAATATTCCTGGTGGACGCTCGCACCCAATTTCTTATGACATGAAATTCATACATCGTAAGTCGGACAACCCTCCGGCTTTGTAAAACTATTTAATTTCCCCCTGAAAGCTGTGTGTAAACCAGAAACATGCTGAACTCAATACACATTCACCATGACCATGTGCGAGGAAGTAAAAAGTATCGTAAAATCTCGCGAGTCACGTGACGAGACTTACAGACTCTGGACCGAATTTTCTCAGCTTTTGAAATAATGAATAAAAAGTTCACTTCCGGTAAAGGGAGAAGTCATTTCAAATGGAATTTAAATAAACATAATGAAGAGAGATATCTCTTTGCAATAAAGAGATATCTCTTTTTGCTTCATAGATATCTCTTTTAGACCCTTTTGAAAGATATCTCTTTCACTTTGAGAGATATCTCTTAAGATAAACTTAGAGAGATATCTCTTTTACTTAAAGAGATATCTCTTTAACTTGGAAAGATATCTCTCTAAGTGAAAGAGATATCTCTCTAGGTGAAAGAGATATCTCTCTAGTTGAAAGAGATATCTCTCTAACGATCAGAGATATCTCTTTAACGTTCAGAGATATCTCTTATCACGAAAAAGATATCTCTCAAGGAGAAAGAGATATCTCTCAAAGAAAAAGAGATATCTCTCTAAGTATAAGAGATATCTCTCTAACTTTAAGAGATATCTCTTTCTTATAGAGATATCTCTTTAGAATAAGAGATATCTCTTTAAGTTGAGAGATATCTCTTATTTTTAAGAGATATCTCTCTAAAATGAGAGATATCTCTGTTATTTTCAGATGAAATTTATTTTCCGAATAAATAGTAAAAGGGCTTGCCATAAAAATTTGATTTTGGCTAACTTAGTTTTTTTCCGTAAGGGATTATATAAAACATGCCATCCTCTGGTATCTCGCACAAATGCCTGGTAAGGTACCTCAATTTTTGTTGTGAGTGAACATGTTAAAGTAATAATCCTTCAATGACAAAATCTTAAAGAAAATTATATACACACTGTGTTATTGAGGAACGTCACGTCTGTCCTAAGAAGCAATTCTGTCATATATCGAAAATATAGAACTCTTTCCGTTTTGAAAAAAGTTACATACTTTTTCTCTTATGCAAATATCTGTATGTTCTCAAATTCAAGCATATTTTACAGGAATATATCGGTATATCATTCACTGCAAAACATGAAATAATCATATCGTCCTTTTCGGATATAATAGCAGGCTTTTTCTTCGTGTTGTCATTTTTCACAGGAATATGTCAGGAAATGTTTTCTTTCACTGACTGCAAAGCGTAAACTCTATCATCTTGAATTCTTTCAGATTTAATGGTAGGCTTTTTCTTTGTGTTGTTGGACATTATCGAGAAGCTGACCGTAGAATGGCATGCTGGGGTAGCCATGTGTAAAATGATTCGCTTCATACAAGGCGTTGCCACATACGGTTCCACTTACGCTCTGGTGGCCCTAAGCATTGATCGCCTGGACAGTATAGCTAGACCACTCAAGTCCATGAGTAAAGGTAAATACGTGAAGTCTAGTGCCCCAGTTCAGCAACTCGACAAGTTAGGTTATAAAGCACAGTTCTCTTAGGTTGACCTAGTCAGCGAAGTTTTATAGAATGTGATCAAATACTTCACCAAACAAAACATGTCTTGAATTAAGAAAATTAAGGGCCACTTCATCATTTCACAATTTTGAAATTTTATTTTATTATTATTATTATTATTTCTTTTTTTTTTTTTACCTTTTCTAGATTTCCGTTTATTTTCATGAATTGTTTTGAAGAATCTCTGTTAATGAAAGTTTGGTATTATTCTCATTCCTGTTCTGTTTTGGTAGTCTTATAAATCCATTGGCAAATAAAAAACAAACATAATTCTAAAATTTTTAATATCAGTTGAATTTTGTCGACAAGTTATCGTACATCAAAGTCACCTGACAGAAGAGAAAGCCGCAGGATCCATTGCACTTCTTAAAGACGATGTTCACAACATGAAGTTACGGAATGTACAACATATTGTTATACAAGACTTTTGTTCGAACGATATGAACAGACTGTCAGACGGAGACTTAAAAATAGTCACCCCAAAAGTACAACGGTTAGACCTGAAAGATGACTGAAAGTGACCCAATTGCAGCTTCTGCCATTTAGTGACTTTTCCAGACCTTTCACTCATTATTCAGTTGAATAAATTGTGTGGACGTGGACCAGAAGGTGCTGGCAAGAGAAAGTCCCTTCACTACTTGAAGGCTCCAAATCTTTTGCAGTTCTACATAAGCAAGTGTTTGCGTCTCAATATGAGTGAAATATTCACGAAGGATTCTTAAACAAACAAATAGCACTGCTTGCAAGAGACTTTCTGATGAAGGATTATGTAAGAAGACCTGCAGTGAACCCACCTTTGGTCACAGAACATGGCTACCGACGTCACTAATTTATTTAAGCCCATGTCAACTGGGACTATCATCACACCAAAGAGATGGTCACTGTGGACTTGTGAATCTAGAATTCGTTTAAATTTCAGTGAAGGTCAAAGGTGTGTGTTAATGAGGAAAAGTTGTTTCATGCCTCTATCGTACGACCTAACCCCATTGGTGACTCTCATTTTGATGGATGACAATACCAGATACCATCGTTCGCGAGTGGTCAATTATTATTTGAAATAGAAATCAATTGAGAGGATTGGATTGTCCACCTTGAACTTAATCAAATAGATCATGCATTGGAACATGCCCCGGAAATAAATTTAACTAGATGTACTGTGAGCGATGAGCTCACTAAATGATACCCCCGCCTGCCCTCCATATAGTTATAATGGCAAAGTCCATGTTTTGCTGTGGCCGGGAAACCCAAAATATGTGTCGGATCAAAAAGTAAAATAGGAGGTGCACAATGGCAATATCTTATACAGATTCTGTGAAAGTTTCATCAAATTTCATTCAGTGGTATGAGAGGAGTTGCGGATAAGAGATGGGTACCCCAAAGCGTAACAGACGGACGGACGGACAGACGGACGGAATTAACGATTACTATATACCCTCCCGCTTTTCAAGCGGGGGGTATAACAAAGGCAAGAAACCATCCCAACAATTGTTGTGAGGAAATGTTGAGCATTTCATAGGATAACTTCCGGGATTTGATTATTAACAATTTCAAATCGATGCAGAGAAGTGATAAGGCCTGGAGGTTTTCAAAGAAGAAAAGAAATTTGGACCGTTCAATCTCAAGTCATAACCCTATTGCTTTTTCCTTTTGAAATCCTGGGTTGATGCATATTCTATTTGCATTCCAATTGAATGTTCTCTTCAGTTTATTATCTATTATTGGAAAATTATTAATGTTTATGCTAAATGTATCATTCTTTGTACAATATTTTTGCAAAGGAATTTTGGACGGTCCTGGATTACTTTGTTGAATATATATGAGGAGCTATTTTTTATGCCAGGTTGTTTCATTGAAATCTTTATTCCTATGAGTTGACGTCATACAAGATGGTCAAAGCACGATTTCACAAATGAACCTTTTAATAATATAATACCAAAATTGTGTTTATCATCATACACTGTATTATATGATGTAGAATTGATTGTGATTCTTTTGATTTTCTGCCTATTTGTAGAAAAAAGAGTGAAGGGGTTAATTATATTACAGTGGACCTGTGCAGTTCTGTTCGCCACGCCAATGTTTAAATTTGACTTAGTGACAAAGGTTATTCGCAAATCGGAAAAGACTTTCTGCATGATAAATTTCCCAGAACTTTGGCATTGGAAGGTTAGTTCAATGCTAGGTATATATTATCAGTTAATTCTCGAAAGTATATAATATAATATAATTTGCATGTAAAATAGTATTGAAAATACCGTTCTCTGAAATCATTACAAATGATTAAAGAACTAGAGGTACATGTACTTTGAGCAATGAGCTCACTAAATGATACCCCCCGCCTCCCATATGATTAAAATGGCAAAGTCCATGTTTTGCTGTGGCCGGGAAACCCAAAATATGTGTCGGATCAAAAAGTAAAATAGGAGGCGCACAGTGGCAATATGTAATAAAGATTCGTTGAAAGTTTCATTAAATTTCATTCAGTGGTATAAGAGGAGTTGCGGATAAGAGATGAGTACCCCAAAGCGTAACAGACAGACGGACGGAAGGACATACCGATTACAGTATACCCTCCCACTTTTCAAGCGGGGGGTATAATAAGATATAGACCAGAGTATTATTTAGGAGAAACATACATGTACAATTAGTAACGAATATCAATGATCCATAAAGGAATATCAACTTCAGAAAATACATGTATTTCAAATTAGATTTTATGGTAAACATCTTTGCGGTTGAAATAAATCATGGAATAAATGTTTTTGTTTTTGTGAAGCCTGAACATAAATTGGCATTTCAAGGCGAACGAACCAGAAAATCGATGGGCACTTAATAAATAAAATAAAAGAACAACATAGGCCTTATTTGCATTGTAATAGTTCTAATGCTTTAAAGTTGCATACAAATTGAGTAAATTAATTGAATTCCTCCATTTTACCTCTTTTTTACAGCTCTATTTAACATTAGTGGCCATAGCCGTGTTTATTATTCCCGCCATTCTGATCGCCATCTGCTACACAGTCATTGTGGTGATTATCTGGAGGCGGTCTACTGCTAGTGTGGTGACGCGCTACAATGACGTCGCCCAGAGGAACTGTACCACCAAAGCATTTAAAAGCAAAAAAGGTTGCTGCAATATAACAAACTCAATAAATCAAGCTTAATTCCGATTGATTCTTTTTTATTTTAATGACCCTTTTATACACTATTCACTAACGAGTTTAAAATGCTGCAGTATATAAATTGAAACCTTCTGTGATCTACTCAATTGGTAATCAAGTTTTTTGAATTAATTGGTTTCTTTACTAGTATTTGCACTTTTGTTCCATCTTTGTTTTTCTCGCCTTTCAGAAGTTAAATTTCAAGAAACAACAGTAGTAGCTTCGAAGTCATTAAATGGACAAGCATGCCACAAAATTGGAAATGCCACCGGAGGATTAATACCAAAAGCAAAGATTAAGTCTATAAAAATGACTTTCGTCATAGTTCTAGGTAGAATAATATTTTCCCAAATATCTATTTTCAATTTTTACTGACACAAAATTTTAACATACAATATACATGTATCATTTGTCTGAGGTCTGATAAAGTAATCTTAAAGGATTGAAATAAACACTTCAAACTTAATCAAAAAACATAATTTTATAAATTAAATGATGACATAATACTACAGACATTGATGCTTAGAAGGAAATGTATTTTTCAGCCTTAATAAGAACTTAAAACTTTAAATCCCCAATCACTTTTTAGCTCACCTGAGCTGAAGGCTCAAGTGGGCTTTTAATATCACAACTAATTCAAGTTAAATTTTTTGCGGACAGACAGCTAAACAGACGGACGGAGAGGGCAAAAATTATATACCCCGAATCTTCGAACATGGGGACATAAACCCTTTCATTGAAAACCAACATTTTTTTTTACCTTTAGGCTAGTTTTAACTTTTAAAAAACACATTTTATAACTTTGGAACTTTCCTCGATACACGGCTAAATCCACTGGATACCAACAACTTTGACTTTTTAACCAAACTTGGTACAAAGCATTCTTATGTATAGTGATTCTACTGTTTCTTATTATTAGTTTATTATTATTCTTTTTTTTGACAAAATTTTGTAAGGGAAAACTAAGCGGTTTTTCATTAGACTTTCACAAAATATGTGTCATTATATGAGTTGTTACATCCAGAGAAAAGACAAAAATAGGGTGGGGTCTGATTTTAAAAAAATCTTCTCAAAACCACTGGAGACTTATTGGAAATAGTTTGTCACTTTGTGGTTTGCGGAAATTTATGTGGAAGTACTTCCTGGGATGCAAATTAAAAAAAATGTGTAGTATTTTTCATTTATTTTTGTATATTTGTCCTCCTTATAATGCTTACTATATAATTTGTTTGAATGTTGATAAATCTAAACTCTAGATATGGCATTAAAAAATTGGGCAAAAGGGCCACAATAGGGAAGGCAAAGTTTTACATAGAAATATATAGGAAAATGTTTTTAAAATCTTCTGTGTCAAACTAACGTCCACTGGTAAAAGACTAAATGTGCAAAGGAAATTCGACATCTAATATCTTTTGTGCACCTTGAAACAGATCTTTAATCATGCTTATAAGTAATGCTTTCTCAAAAATAGAATATCAATTAATATTTTAATTATAAATCTTAACCACTGTTTTTCAATGCACAAATGTGTCATATTAAACTAATAAATAAGACAAAAATAAGATTTTCTTTTAAAAGATCGCTTCATGGAGTTTATTTTAGCATTCGTGGCTCAGAGTTATTGAGCAAGAATGAAATCTGATTCCATGACCGTTGTAGGACGAGCCATGTTTTTCGGCGAAACATTTCTTCCTTTGTCGACTTACTGATTGGGATAGTTCACTTTGGGGATACAAAGGAAATTGATCATAGTTAAAAATTCATAACTGTTTCACCACTTTATTGTAAAATGCATATATTCAATATTGAATTTGTAAAATGTGTTTAATATACTTTGTAAACCTTGAATAGGCTATAAGAACGTTCTTTTTTTAACTTCATTGAAGCTATCACACCTATTTAATAGAACATTCCAAAGAAAAGGAGCAAAGATTAACTCTTGGGTTTGTCACTGAATTTTGAATAGTGACCTGCCTTCATTAATTTTAAGACAGCAGCACTGTTTTGTATATAAATACAAGTAGTGTAGGGGTCGGGGGGGGGTTTGAATTTCATGTACTTGGGTTCAATCCCCCTCGTGTGCAAATCTTTTTCAATTTTCTGCTCGATTTAACGTTATCCTTCCGGAAGCGGACGGAAGACCTCTCGTTGCTCGCAACGAGTTTCATGTCTAGTTATTATTTTTTTTCTTCTTCTTCTTCTTCCTGGGTACTTTTTTGCATCACCAATGTAAAACCTTTTTACAGTAGGCATGTTATGTAGAGCAAAGGTCATTTTGTGTGGCCCAGCGTGCACGTGTCTCGTGAAATGTTTAGATTAGCATGTAACTTTTCTACTTTTGGATGAAATGCTTTGAAACTCATAATGTGAGGATAAATTAGTAGCATAGACAATATAACATGGTCAAAATAATTGCATGCAGTAATTGGGACATATTGGTTTTTAATAAAATTCTTTGAAATTTTGAACATTCATAAGATATTACATTATGATATATTTTTTGAAAACACGTGCATGCACGTGCACTGCAATCTGATTGGCTTAAACACTCCCTTGGTTTTCAACCAAACAGGATGGGATTTGGAACATAAATAGATATAATATACAAGAAGGTGTGGTCACCATGCACATGCATACGCGTGCGTGTATGTGCGCTGCAATCATTGGGAAACTTTAAACAGCACTCCCTTGGTTTTAAACCCTTTGGGATTGAAAACCAACACTTTTTTTTATGTTACCCGTATTTTTTATAGATTAAATACTTTTATATTTGTGTACCCGGTATTAAAATATATAGATTGTGTAGAAAAGTGTTACGCACATGCATTTGACCATAAAATTTGAATGAACTTTCTGGGTAAACGTTGTTAAAATCTCAAATGCATAGAGCTAAATCCACTGGATACCAACAATTTTGACTTTTCAACCTAATTTTTTTTCTTTGACCTTGTCCTTGAATTATGACTTGCTTTTGAGAAATTTTAGTCTTCGTCATAAGTTTGCTATACGGGGGAAACAGTGTTGCAAAAACATCTTGTTTTGGCTTGAAGTTTTAAATTTTCTTCTTTCAGCTTTTATCTTCTGTTGGTTACCCTATTTTGTGTACGACTTGTACCAACTGTACGGACCATTCGATCATCAAAGACTCGAAGCTGTTACTACTTTTATACAAAGCCTAGCACCGTTAAACAGTGCAGCAAATCCAGTCATTTTCTTAATATTTAATTACAAATCGTACGTGAAAATGTTCCGACACGGCTTGCAAAATCAGGCAACTACAGTTTCGCAATTATGAAGAATACCAGTAACAAAGTTTAGAAAAACACCAACATGAAAGCCCTGGGAATTCTGTGGAGTTTGGGGAAACGCTACAGTTCAAATATGTTTAAGGAATAATCATAGAGCTTTATGTTGTGAAATTAACTCGTGGAATTCGCCAGGGGAGATGTATCGATCCCAGTACGGATCAAAGAACGATGGATGGTCAACAGGGAATGAACAAATGATCACGTAAATAACGCAAAGAAGTTTCATGAAGACCGTTGCTTAACCATGCTTAATGATACATCCGGCTCTGAATCTGTTGGACCAGTTGAACCGAGGACCATATATGTACTGATAATGGTTACGTAGACTAATGCCTTTCAGCACATTTTTTCTGTGATATTTTTTGAACAGCTTTTTAGCTCACCTGAGCCGAAGGCTTAAGTCAGCTTTTCTGATCAAAATTTGTCCGTTGTCTGTCGTTGTCGTCGTTGTTGTCGACGTTGTTAACTTTTCACATTTTTAATCTTCTCAAGAACCACTGGGCCAATTTCAACCAAACTTGCCACAAAGTATCCTTGGGTGAAGGGGATTCAAGTTTGATCACATGAAGGGCCAAGCCCTCTTCCAAGGGGAGATAATTATGAATTAATGAAAAATTAATGGCATCTTTTAAAAATCTTCTTTTCCAGAACCATTGGGCCAGGAAAGATGAAACTAATGTGGAAGTATCCTCAGGTAGTATAGATTCAAATTTGTTAAAATCATGACCCCCGGGGGTAGGGCGGGGCCACAATGGCTGATCAAAGGTTTACATAAGAATATATAGGAAAAATCTTTAAAAATCTTCTTCTCCAGAACCACTGGGCCAGGAAAGGTGAAACTAATGTGGAACCATCCTCAGTTAGTGTAGATTCAAGTTTGTTCAAATCATGACCCCCGGGGTAGAGTGGACCACATTGGCTGATCAAAGTTTTACATAGGAATATATAGGAAAAATCTTTAACATTCTTCTTCTCCAGAACCACTGGGCAAGGAAAGATGAAACTAACACTGAAGCATCCTCAGTTAGTGTAGATTAAAGTTTGTTCAAATCATGCATATGGCCCCCTAGGATAGGGTGAGGCCATCTTGGCTGATCAAAGTTTTACACAGGAATACCTAGGTAAAATCATTTAAAAATCTTTTTCTCAAGATCAACAAAGCTATGAATGGTGATATTTATATGAAAACATTAATATTTTCAGTTAGACTTAATTCAAGTTTGTTCATATCATGACCCCTGGGGGTAAGGTGTGGCCATGATGGGCAATCAAATCTTTACATAGAAAATATATAGGAAAAATCTTTAAAACTCTTCTTCTCAAGTATGGCAAAATTATATATTTATGCTTTATCGATGTAGTGACATTCTCAAGTAATAAAAAATGCAAATCCCCCTCCCCAAACAAGTAAACTTTACAATACTGAGCTGATTTGTGTTTTTTAAACTAGCCCATGTGCTTAGGTGAGCGATATGGCCCGTGAGCCTCTTAAGCGGAGGAACACCTTACTTTTGAAAGCCGACGTTAAAAGCTTTTTTTCAAAATTTATATTTATTTAGTTTTCATACAATTGCAAACGTGTATAAAACCAATAGAAATCATAGTCGATTATATTTAAATGTTGCATGCGAAATAGAATGATATTGAATTGTTTTTATTTATTTATTTAAGCACAAAAAGCTTCAGTATTTATTTATGTTTAGGTAACTTATATACTACAGTCGGTAGGTACAATCCTGAGATATATTAATATTACTACATTAAATCAATTCTAAGACGTCAACTCTTCAGTTTTCAATCGGTATATACGATAAAATCTTAGAAATAATTTCCACGAACTTTTGGATTAACACTCATATACTAGTATTTTGTCAAATCATTGTCGCTTAAAATTCACTTTTGTTCTAATGAGATAATTTACATTAAGTCAAAATTAAGACCGCAAATAACTAACTGGCAAGATTCGAAGTGTGCAAGTTCGTTATTTCCATTTGTTACCGCCAAAAAGTTAATAGAGAATGAAAGGGACAGTACAATTCGACACGAACGTCTGAGAACATACTGGATTAAAATATTATTTTTCGAAATTTATTTTCAATGCTTTTCAAGTAGCACAGTGTTGTTGATTAATCCTGGAAATTGCTAAAAAAAAAAATTGGGCCCATTGTTTTGAAAGAAATTAAAATGGAGCATTTGATTTATGGTAGAGCAATTGATCATTGAACAGGTTAGCGTAGATTTGATTTAGCGTATCTATTCATTTTCGTATACATGAGTATATGTGCAAGACATTTAGCGTTGTACTTGAATTAGCGGACGGAAATTAATACGTTTACAGTAAGCTTTAGAGTTGGATACCCACTCGTCTTCCTCGTTTGTTTGTCTTTACTTACATTTTTGGTGCAGGAGAAAATTTAATACTGCCCCTTGTCCATGTTGTCATCTCAGAAATAGTATATTCTGTAATGTTACGCCATGGACATAAATAATCTGAATTGAAAATTTACCCCAACCCCATTTAGTATCAAATAACATCCCCTACATGGGTATATTTTTATATCTTCTTTATTCATAACTTTCGTGAGTTCTTAAAAAAAATTGGCTAGGCGTTCTGACTTATATAAATTACACATGAAAGTATTTACTGCGAATAACTTGTCTTTTGATTTATGATTGATTTTTGATTTTAGTAGAGTCGGCAATATTTCAGCGATATTTCGGCGATTCATGAAAAATGGAAGATAACAACACAAGTATTTAAACTATATAGTCTATTAAAACAATATATACCTAGAGCACAGCCAATATGGATCTCAAAGACAATAGAAGTGTCCAGATGCCATGGAGGAGAGCGCATCCCCTGTCGACCGAGCACACCTGCCATGGACTCCTTGTCTTAATCGGACAATCAGGAAAAATTGTAGACAAAATGTCAGTCAGCATTCGACTTAATAAAAAATTGTATTTGCTGACATATATAAAGCTTGCGAAATGATGGCTTTAAATTGACACTGTTTATATCCTTGTTTCGTCAACTTGTTTGTCAAAAGCTTGTCGTGTTTTAGAAATCGTTCGAATGTAGAACGTGCCCTTGTGTATACGTAGCGACTCAACTGCATGGGAGACGTAAACAATGTAATGTTGCTATATAAGCAATGGTAGCTCACGATAGAAAAGTGATCGCTTTCATCGTAAATATTTTGTTGTAAGGTTACTATATCAGACTCTGTGATATCTTTTGTTACAGAAGTGCACTGAGAAATATGGAGTTGACATATGAATAGTCTGAGGTGTGTGTAAATATGACTGCTAGTGTGTTGAGTAAAATTGTCTTGGAGTGAAATGTGTTGTAAAATGTTCCTTAAGTCATGTTGTGCAATTGAGCACTGGCCTGACATGTTTTAACGTGATGGCATGTTGAGTGTAGTTATGACGACAACCTGTGACAAAATACCCTGTTGCGTTTTTGCTAACATCTGTTTTCTCCATACTTTGTTCTCTTTCAATGTCTATTCATAGTATTCAAAATATTCATATGTGCAGTACATCTGTCTAGTCAGGCAACATAGGGGTAATTCTGGGGAAATATTGCATGATATCTCCTAGAGTCAACGCCTTCGTAAAATGAAAAATATATATATTTTTATTAACACCCTTTATTAGCTCACCTGAGCCGAAGGCTCAAGTGAGTTTTTCTGATCAAAATTTGTCCGTCGTCTGTCGTTGTTGTCGTTGTCGTCGTCGTTGTTGTCGTTGTTGTCGTTGTCGTAAACTTTTCACATTTTCATCTTCTTCTCAAGAACCACTGGGCCGATTTCAACCAAACTTGCTACAAAGTATCCTTGGGTAAAGGGTATTCAAATTTGTTCAAACGAAGGGCCACGCCCTTTTCCAAGGGGAGATAATTATGAATTGGAGAAAAATTAATGGCATTTTTAAAAAATCTTCTTCTCAAGAACCACTGGGCCAGGAAAGATGAAACTCATGTGGAATCATCCTCAGGTAGTGTAGATTCAAGTTTGTTCAAATCATGACCCCCGGGGGTAGGGTGGGGCCAAAATGGCCGACCCAAGTTTTACATAAGAATATATAGGAAAAATCTTAAAAAATCTTCTTCTCATAAACCACTGGACCAGAAAAGATGAAACTCATGTGGAATCATCCACAGGTAGTGTAGATTCAAGTTTGTTCAAATCATGACCCCCGGGGCTAGGGTGGGGCCAAAATGGCCGACCCAAGTTTTACATAGGAATATATAAAGGAAAAATCTTTAAAAATCTTCTTCTCATAAACCACTGGACCAGAAAAGATGAAACTCATGTGGAATCATCCACAGGTAGTGTAGATTCAAGTTTGTTCAAATCATGACCCCCGGGGCTAGGGTGGGGCCAAAATGGCCGACCCAAGTTTTACATAGGGATATATATATAAGAAAAATCTTGAAAAATCTTCTTCTCAAGAACCACTGGGCCAGGAAAGATGAAACTCATGTGGAATCATCCTCAGGTAGTGTAGATTCAAGTTTGTTCAAATCATGACCTCCAGGGCTAGGGTGGGGCCAAAATGGCCGACCCATGTTTTACATAGGAATATATAGGGATACCTTTTAAAATCTTCTTCTCAAAAACCACTGGACCACAAAAGATGAAACTCATGTGGAATCATCCACAGGTAGTGTAGATTCAAATTTGATCAAATCATGACCCCCAGGGCTAGGGTGGGGCCAAAATGGCCGACCCAAGTTTTACATAGGAATATATTGGAAAAATTTTTTAAAATCTTCTTCTCAAAAACCACTGGGCCAGGAAAGATGAAACTCATGTGGAATCATCCTCGATAGTGTAGATTCAAGTTTGTTCAAATCATGACCCCCGGGGCTAGGATGGGGCCAAAATGGCCGACCCAAGTTTTACATAGGAATATATATAGGAAAAATCTTTAAAAATCTTCTCAAGAACCACTGGGCCAGGAAAGATGAAACTCATGTGGAATTATCCTCAGGTGGTGTAGATTCAAATTTGATCAAATCATGACCCCCGGGACTAGGGTGGGGCCACAATGGCCAACCCAAGTTTTACATTGGCATAATAGGGATACCTTTTAAAATCTTCTTTTCAAGTACTTCAAAGTCATGATTAGTGATATTTATATGGAATCATCCTCAGGTAGTGTAGATTCTAGTTTGTTCAAATCATGATCCCCTGGGTGGGTGTGGGGGGGGGGTAAAAAAAAGCCCCCACCCCCACCCCTCAGTAAACTTTCAGTTTGACTTTGTGCTTTTTCCTAGCCAATGTGCTCAGGTGAGCGCTATGTGGCCCCTGGGCCTCTTGTTTATATTTGTACATATTTTCTCTTCAGTAATTGACATCCTCATATGATAAACGTTTGTGATTTACATTTCTTTTTTTTCAACTTATAATACATTCATCCTGTTTATCACATCTTCCTGA